ATAAATAAAAAGGCATGATGATATTTAAAACTGAATTAAAATCGCTCTTGTAAGAGAGTCACAGATGTACGGCAATGAGGTTGTCAGCGGAAGGAGCCTTTCCCCACATACAGGTTTCGGGACCGTTGTGTGGCCCACGCCATGATCTCATTGTCGACGCATTGCACTTTTTACAATTGTCACGTTAGCATCGATCAATAACCCAAAATTGTAGTGAGGTGTAAATGGATTATTACTATTGTTAAATAAGTTAGTTATTTTAGGAACAAAACATTGTACAGAGTCGGACATTACAGATTCTAATTAGAGGGTCATAAAATATGCTGACAAATCAAAATAATAGCTACCAAATCTTTATATTCTTTCAATGGTCGACTCGATCAGGACGAGAAGGTCCAGGGTTCCATTCTCGTTGGGACAAATTTACGATTTTTTTCTAAATTGATTTTGGTCGGGGAATTCTGGGCATTCGGCTTCTTTGGTACTGGGTCAAGAGTACGTGAAGCTTGACACTTAAGACTTAAATCCAACTCTAAGCCGCTTACGATAAAAACGTGTCAAGCTTCATGTGCTCTTGACTGTACTTGTAGTACAAGGAATTCCCTAGTTTGAGTCCAGGTAATTTGTGTAGTCTGACACGTGACTATAAAAATATAAACATAGACATTTAAGCAACAAATTCAATTATAAACACAAGAAATATACCTTACATTAAGTGTGCGATTAGTTAAATTAAGATTATTAAACATGCTGCGTAAAAGAATTAGTAATGGGAATAAATGGGATCGAAGGAATTTTTTCTGAGTATTCGATCTTTGTATAAATAATTATAACAAACTAGTGGAATAATTTCACAAAAAATAGTTGTAGATCAATTCAATAAAAATTTAAAGTTGGAATAAAAATACGAGCCAAATTAACTAAATAACAAAATTATGATAATAGGCAAAGATTTCTGAATTCAGTGATGTGAAAAATATATTCTCTCGACAATTTAGAGTTAAAACTGAGTTTATTATTGAGAACTTCGAGAGTAAAATTTGCAAAGTACACTAGAACACTGCGAAAACTCGAGCGCTGTTGTTACAAAGTGGAGATACTTTTCAGGAATTATTATTTTCATTTTTTGACGCGTATCCAATTCTGAGAAGCTTTTAGCGTTACGATTCAAGAAATACTCTTTCAGTATCAAACGCAGTCGTCGATATATAAATATTTTGGTATTAACAAATTGGGTAAACTTCAGGCCTCTACCTAAGTATAATTATTACTCTGAATTAAGATAATCGTAAACGAGTAGAGTCGAGAAATTTAAAAATTCTAGTAAATTACTAAACAGATATGTTAACAATACTAATTATTGATTAGTAATTACCAATCATTGGTCACATCACTATCAAATTGAGAAACAATGATGCATTGATTTTGTGTTTCAAAATTGTAAATTCCTTGTTGAATACCATGTTTTATTACCATGAGATTAGTGTATTTTTTTGTGAAATTACTTCACTACTTTGTTATAATTATTAATACAAAGATCAAACGCAAAGAAAAAATTATTTTAATTAAAAGATTATAACGGTAATTTTCATGTAAGTATTTTGTACTCAATTTTGGTGACAATTTCTTTTTATCTAAATATTTATACAATATCATCATGAAGTATTATTTAACATTCGAGTGTGGTAACCTGAAACATTCTTTAATATTTCACGATGATATAATCGAATAACTATATAATAAAAATTGTCACCAAAATTGAGTACAAAAAACTTACCTGAAAATTACTGATGAATTCCATAGATCTGACAGGATTTGTCAGAATTTTTGTTTGTGTTCGTTCTATGTATGAATAATTATTATAAATTCGTTTTTTAAGAGAAAGTAAAATTTGTCAAACGCTTAAAAAGTCTTCTTGGAATGATGAGTATTTTTAATCGACTTCAAAAAAGGAGGAGTTTCTCAATTCGACTTTGTTTATTTATGTGTGTACGTTAAGCGATTTGTGAACCGTACGAGAGTCACCGTCCCATTTACATTAAAAAAAAAAATATTGTGTGGCCAACTTTCCGTTAACCGATTTCAATAAAACTTGGCAAATAAATGTAATTCCATGAATTTAAAGGTCATTTTTTTTAAAGTTATCATTACTTGTTAAATATTGACGGGTCTAAAATTATTAATAACTAATTTTGTTACTACCATGTATTTGACCTTTAAAATCCTTCAATTTAAATTCTAAATTCATAAATGCATTCGTTTTGACGACTTTATATGACACAATTTCTTAGTCAGTTAACATAGATGTTGTTGTTGTTGATTGTTTTGCGATTGTCTACATTCAATGATGTGCCAACATATTTAATAAACATGTAAATGCACAGCCCAGGAATGAAATGCTGCCTGCGTCTGTTTCCGTGCACATACAAGCATAATATCTTTAGGGAGTCACTTCACTGGTCGACGTGGAATCGCATTAACCCGGTTAGAAAAATCTTTAAACTTGTATTAAGAACGAAAATGTCGTTGTTGTACTTATCGCATCCGCGGGCTGAGCAGAGGCGACACGCACAACGTCTTTTTGGCTTTTATTACATGGGCATAAAGATTTTTCTAACTGGTGCGATTGAATTTTAGTAGCAGTAGAGCTCCTTGTGAAAGAGTTCGTCAAGGAAGTACTGCCACCTTATCAATTTCTGCCGCCAAGCAGTAATGTCAGCATTACTGTGTTCCGGTTTTGAAGAGTAAGCGTGCTGGTGTAATTACAGGCACATGGAACTTGTTAACTTATGTCTCAGGTTGACGGGCGCAGTGGCAGAGCCCCTCAGATTTGCGATTTAAAGCTCTAAGGAGCACTGCAACATACACCATACTTATTATCTACACAGTAAGCTATAGGGATTCAAGGATATATGAAAATTAATTATTCAATTATTCTTTATAATTATAATTCCAATTTCCTTTACAGTTAAAAAAAACAGTAAAAATATAATCCCTCCATTAGAATAATAATATAAATAAAGATATGGTACAAAATTTTTTTTTATAGATAGCTAGCGAGTCACTGAATGTATCGAGATTCACGACTTTAAAACATTGTTGTATTTTTTTGGTAACTCTGTTTATAGGACATTCTTTTCTCGTGCCTTGTTCACTCTTCGTTAGTGTCCTATCGATTCGATATTTTCATTCGTAATACTTTGATAATCTGCTGTTGGTAAAAGTTCTAACTATACTGCAGTTTTCTTGTGAAAGTATTAAATTTAAGCGATCGTATAATTCTGAACGTTTTTTAATAATGTAAATGTAATGTAATGATTTTGTTTATTTTCTGAAGCAATAAGTACATAATAAACGTTTTAGTAGCAGTAGAGCTCCTCGTGATAGAGTTCATCCAGGGAAGTATTGCCGCATTATCTATTTCTGTCGCCAAGCGGTAATATGAGCTTTACTGTTTTGTGTGTGTTTGAAGAGTATGAGTGCTGGTGAAATGACAGGAATATGTGACTTGTCAACTTATTTTATACGATTTAAAGTTCTTAGTATCTTTGTGACTGTTATGTGTAGGCGTGTCGCTTACCAGGCGCACGACATGTTAGTCCCGTCAATTGGTTTAGTTAAAAAAACAAAAAAATATATATTTTTACAATATATTTTCTTAAAACTGGTACGGAAAGTTAGCTTCTGTTTGAGGTACACAGAATCCGTATAACAACACCTTAATTAAATGTTGTAAATATTAATAATGATAAAGAAAGAAATTTCTAAATTTATCCTTTAGTAGCCTAAAAATAGAGGCAAAAATTTAAAATAATATAATAAATAATAGAAAAATTTTTTTTTATCAATTCGCCCTTGAAACCGTAGGATGTGTCCGTAAAGATATTTGAAGTAATAATGTCGAGTAAAGAATTATAAGCGGCCCTATACTAAGCTGTTGTAAAAACACCCGTGTACGGCGTATATATGTGTGCGTACAAGTGTTTGTGTGTGTGTAATTACTGGGCTTGAATTGTATGCTATACGTTAGTTTTATAAACTTTATCGAAATAGGTTGAATTAAAAATATTTCGAAGTTATCAGAAGCTAAATTGAAAAAATGGCATCTTTTAACTGCCTTGGTATAATAAAGCTACATGTCAAAATTACAAGCTATTTCTTGGTAGGTCAATGGCTGTACCTCAAAATTGCTAAAAAGAATACGAACTCTTAGGTAGTATTTTGATTTATCTGTCTGGATTTTATTAAGTGTTTTCTTAAGGTATTGTTTTTCTAACGGGGCTGACATATTCAGTAACGATCAAAGTCCCTAAATAAATAAAGATTAAAAAAAACTACATTTAATAAATCGATACCTCTACGCCAAATTAATTATTTTGGTACTCACTGTTTTTATTTTGTTTCTTTATGTTTCTATATATTTTTTCACAAAATTAGTTTTTTTTGTTTTTTTGTTCGAATTTTGTTTTCTGTTTCTTTATTTTTTTGTCACAAAACTTAGAGAGCATAATATTAGTAAATAAAATAAGGCTGTTTACGCTAAAAACAGAAAATGACCAAAAAATTAAGTTGGCGTAGTGTTCATTGGAGGTATCGAAATTATATACTTAACTGTCTAATTGAAGTTTAAAAAAATTATAATTTCGTTAGAAGAATCTTTGTCTCTCTTCTGAAATTTTGGCACTTTGCAGGTGTAGCCTTATTACACCAAGGTTGAGAATTTTATTATTTACATTGAGTAAATTATTTCCTTTGTTCAATATAATCCCAGTGAAAAATTAAAGTCAACTTTATGTATACTGTGAATGTCGATTTACCCCATTAATCGTCAATGAATTTATTGATACTGTCAATAAAATTTCTGTCAATAAAGTACCTATTAAAGGCTGGTTAAGGAAAAATTTTGGCCGTAAGCGTTTTTGGATGTTTGCGATGTTGTGGAGCACCCTCTGCGCTGGAATTCGGCGCGCAGCATATAACGGCGCTGCAGCCGTCTCCCGCGCACAATCGCACACACGCCGCCACACCGCAACCGTGAGTATTCATTCAAACACGCATCTTTTATTGAATTAGATATCGTTAAATAGCTCGTATAAGCAAGGTTATCTTTTAGTTATAGTGTTATTAAAAAGCGATTTCGAACAATAAAATAAAGAATATATAATAATCTGTACAGGAGAACCTTTCTAACAGGTTATGGTGTCCCGATTAATTATTTAGTCATTATATTATAAAAAATTATATTTCTTGTGTTTTTATGCATAGAAACTTTTTTAAAGTGTTTGCTAGATGAAAATGTAATTGCGATGAATTGTACTGTGCGAAATGTAGAGCCCGGTGCTACAAAATACAAAAATTATTGAAAAAGCACGTACAGCAACAATTATTGCTGTAAAACTAACTTCAGCTTTTTTCATTTGTTTTTTTGTTGGCAATAGTGAAATCCTTTCAAATGACGTTAATTTATTGAAGTAATAAGTACTTACACAGCGCTATTTTATTCTACAAATAGAATACATAAAATGCGTGAAAAATAAAAAAAACTGTTACATAAATTATAGTTAAAATATAATTAAAGTTAACGCTGGCGACTATTGGGAAATGTAAAAAAAATATTTATTTTTTATTTTTATTTTTATGATGATGATGATATTTTTATTTATCTTGACTTATTCAGTGTTGTAGAAAATATAACCGAAAATCAATTTACGAAGTATTGCTTTAATACACAGCATGTTTCATGTTTCATTCATCATAATATATTGTTCGCCCTGCTTTCTACTGTACCACTACGTACCGTTTAAATTGGGCCTGATCTACTCGTACAACTAACTAAGCTCTGAGGTGCACTGCTACTGTTATGGATAGGCGTGTCGCTTACCACCAGGTGCACGACTTGTTCGCCCCGTCACTTGGTATTATAAAAAAAAACTTTCGCTTTGTGATATAGATGGTTTTCGTTGGAACAACTGGTTATTATTATATTAAATTTAATTTAAAATTTACCATGAGCTTTTCTGTGAGGGAAACTATCGCGAGGAAATTGGACATATCTGCAAAACAATTTAATGATGTTTGTCGATAACTGCAATTAACACTACTGCAACAAAATTTTTTGGCCTGTTCTGTTTTTATTTCTTTAATTTTTTCACAATATCCGTTTGCTTGTTTCTTTTTTTGAATTTTGTTTTTTGTTTCTTTATTTTTTTCACAAAATTCGGGGAGCATAATTTTAGTACATAAACACGGCTGTTTACAAAAATAACAGAAAATTACCAAATAATAAAGGTTGAGTAGTGTTCATCGATGTGAAGTTCCCAATCCGCATTGGGGCCCAATGGGAGCTACGGCCCAAGCCCTCCCATTGTGAGAGGAGGTGCCCAGTAGTGGGACTATATGTAGGCTATTTGTTATACTGAATGCCTCTTTTAGTTTCGCCTCTCCCTCTGTCCTAAAAGATTATTTTGAATTTTTAAACGAGAGAGGCGGTATTCCCCTGCAATGGTACCGTCTCTCGGGGTCTGGGATTCAAGTTAAAGAACTGACGAACAATACGTACCGTATCGAGTAGAACGGCCTTCTGTATTTGTACTGGAAGGGACACGCCACAGAAATCCAACCGCCTCAATCTGCTGGCGAGACTAACTGGAATTAACCCGTATGCGGACAAAACAATTGGGAGTATTTCAGTGGAGGCCACATGCCACATTTTGGTGATCTCGTATTATATTGTTATTATAAGTGGTTATTATAATTATCAATATACCACGAAAATTAAATGAACTAACAACCTAGATGGTATCTACCAAATTGTGCCTTGAACTTGACTAATATTCGCAAACAGTGAAAGTGAATAGGTAAATATTGAAATGACTTGATTGGTTTATAAATGTTAGTTTTCGATTTTCGTGCTTGAGTGTATCTCATTCTACGGATTACACAGGAAATGTAAGAATAACAGAAAATTGTTAAAAGCAAAAATGTTAATAACTTTTAATATTTGAATAAGTTCATATCTTTTTGTATCTTTGGAGTTTTAGAAGCAGTAGAGCTCCTTGTCTCCTCCTCCTATTTCTGCCGCCAAGCAGTAATGTGAACAATTACTGCGTTCTGATTTGGAAGGGTAAGGGGTGCTGGTGAAATTACAGGCACATGGGACAAGTTGTGGCTTAGATCTTCGATTTAAAACTCTGAGTGGCACTGCCTATGGGCAGGTCGCTTACCACCAGGTGCACGACTTGTTCGTCTCGTCTGTACAATAACTGAGGTGGTTAGTTAGCGGTCAGACACAAATAGCTTGCAATACATAGTTTATGAAATTTTCATTTTGAATTCGAATGTGAAATTCAATTCAGTAAAGAAAGGCAGTGACTGTTTAGTTACGTGAACGCTTGCCTCCTATATCTCAGATCGAGGGTTTGATTCACACCAGGGGAATTGCTTGCACAAATGAATAAATGTGAATAATTTGCGGTTAAATTTACAAATTATTACTTGATTTATTTGAAGATTGGTGATGATAAACCTTGTAATTAAAATTGGTTTCCGAGATATTACACGACTCTTCAATAACTTACGAAGTCCCTAATAAGCAAGGGTCAGAGTGGTGGAGAATACCACTATTTTTAGTTTATTTCCCTTTACAAAGATCGAAGTCTAAGAAAAGTTTCTTCGATACGGATGCCGTGGCTGAAGCTCTCCCAACTGTGAGAAATTTATGAAAGTTTTTAAAAGACTCCAAAAAAAGCAGGAGTTTCTCAATTCGACTGTGTGTATGTTCTTTTTGTATGTAAGTTACTCGATAACTCCTCCATTTGTGAACCGATTTTGATGATTCTTTGTTTTATTGGAAAGAGGGTACTTCTATAGTGGTTCCATTTAATTTTGAAGAAAATCATCCACCTCTAATGGTGGCTGTTCGTATGAAGATTCATTTTTATAAATAGCGTCTAAATTTTATTATAAGGAGCAATTATTTTAGTGGTTGATTTTGCTATTCTCCAATTCAAGGTGCTTTTCTCTCTCAATATACTTTGAGTGGTGAGAACCGATTTTTATTATCTCCTGTATCATGTTCCGTATAGTGACTAACAAGAGGATGAACCCGGGTTTGCGTACTTTCCGGTAACCGATTTCAACAAAACTTTCCAAACAGATGTAATTCCACGTACTTTTGAGGTCGGTTTTTTAGTACTCTGTACTGAGATTATTCTTCATTTGTCTTAACCAAATTTTTAGTTTTTTAGTTAGGTTACCTCGGTTACTAGGTAAAGAGGATTAAAATCCAGCCAATGAGTACAAGACTAAGTACTCTAGTATGCTCTTGATAATAACAAACCTCATATTCCCATTTTCAAATTTTTGTATTCTTTCTCGTAGTTTTTATGAATATTTTATTAAACAGATTTTTCTTTCGATTTTCATTTACTGTTATAAATGTAAGTTACGGAGTGTCTATAATTAATCAATTAGAGAGATCTTTTCTGTTGAAGGTGGTCTTCTCGGTAGAATGCATTAATGTAAAAGGGGTCCCTTCGGCCTTTGCCTGGTCGCTGATCCATGGTTGAAAAATCAATGTGATCAAACGACTAATTATGGCCTTCAAATAATAGTTTTATACATAGTGTTAGAATTTTGATCGCGAATACCGTAGCGTGGTTCTATTCTAACGCACCTTACCTTAAGTTCGTCGTGAAAATACTTCGGAATGTTTTGTACTTCAACAACTATCTTCTCTCATAAGTATATGTTTTCTGATTATTATTATTGAAATAACAATGTCATAGTCTTCCTTTTATTTAATATGCTATGTTATTTAGAAGAAAACAATCCTCACGATTGAGGCTTGAGATCAGTGTAGTAAAATTACAGGTGTTTTTTTCACATGCGGGTTCGATGTCTGGTTCAGAGTTTTTGTAGTAGTAGAGCTCCTGTGAAAGCGTTCGTCCAGGGAAGTACTGCCACCTACTATTTATGCTGACAAGCAGTAATGTCAGCATTACTGTGGTTCGGTTTTGAAGGGTAAGGGTGCTGGCGAAATTGCAGGCACATGGGACTTGTCAACTCATCTTACAGGGTATCGGGCGCAGTGGCACTGCCTCTCAGATTTTTGCGATTTAAAGCTCTGAGTGGCACTGTAACTGTCATGGACAGGCGTACAGATTACCAACAGGCGCACGACTTCTTGGTCGTCCGGTCGCTTGATGTTATAAAAAAAATCCTCAGACATGCCATGTCTTGCCAACAGACTAGCCAGATACACAAATTCTTTCACCTGATTTAAATTACTCGCTGTCAACCCTAATTTCGTATTCTGTAACACTTTCATCCCTTTCAATCATAATCATTTTCGTCTTACTCACTTTCACCATCATTCCTTTTCTTTCAATTGCTTCGTGCATAACTATTAGCATCTCCTGCATTGACTTACAAATAAATGGACGACGGGTCTAATACAAAAACCACGAAAAAAATGTCCCAAGTCAACCTATTCGAAATTTAAATTGTTATGTCATCGCAGTATCGCGCTGTCCGTAGAACAAATGAAGACTAAAGCGGAGTGTCGCGCTCTGTATACGATTTTAGCGCCTTACAAGTGCGGACACTTTTTAGCGCGGACCCGACGTCCATATAATTGTAAGTCAATGATCTCCTGCAATTAATTACGGCATTTGACAAGTAACTCATTGATTCTTATGCCACATTCACTGTTTTACAGATCTAATAAACAACTGTCCAATTTTTTTACTTGTTACCAATCCTAATGACGCAATCTGTGAAACTTTCACGAAAGGTTGAAACAGTTCTACCTCCATCATCTTCATTTGATTCACATCTTAATTTGATTAGCAAACTCGTGGTATTTTCCAAGTTTGTTTTCCGGACTATTGAAGTTATTTTCCTGCGGTTCTATTATACTCGATGGGTTCTATTCAGGACTAACTACACTGACTTCGAGATCAAAGTCAAATAATAGCAAACCAGTACATGTGTTTATTATCTAGATTTCGAAGTATTCTGAATCTGACAAGTGT